CATAATTTTTCGGAAAATGAAAAAATGTAAAAAATTATTTTCACTATTTTTTTTTTACATACTGTTACCAGTGCAGCGCAGTACAGCGTCATCATATAACTGGCATGGCGGTGATCAAGGTTTTTTTTTTTTTTTTCTGTTATTTTACATTTTTTATTAATTTTTTTTTCTTTTTTTAAGATTTCTTTTTCATATTTCACTATGTCCAAAGTAGTACAATGTTACCATAGTAACATTGTACTACTTTGGGGAAGTGATCAGTATTTTTTTTCCGAGTCCGAGGTACACGGCCGGTGACAGATCGCGCCACTGCGCGGCTCTGCAAGCGTGAAAACTGCGCATATGCGGGAGGACACCATATGGCATCCTCCCAGAAATCTACAGCCTTTTCCCAGCCGCCAAACGGCTATTGGCCAGGCGGCTATTGGTTAAGCTATTATAACACCCAATACCTCAATATAAATAGGGTATGGAAATATAACATTTACTAAATTAAAAGTTTGGGGCTGAATAGTCTAAAATAAATGTAATGGCTTTGCGTTGCACTTAAAATATTAAGTTCAAAAGCCTCCCACCAGTAAATAAATCAATATGTGTACGAAAAAGCAACAGCTGAATTGTGGATTCAATGAATATATAAAACAACTAAAATGTTTAAATGTGAAAATATTCACAAACCACAAGTCACCTATTAATATGTCATACGTTTAATTGCATAGCACATGTAATTGAAGTCATATTAAAAACCATGGTCAACATTAAAATAATAACTTGTATCACTGATATAACCTGCCTTCCTATAACTTTGCCCAACTGATAATACAACAGGTTGAAGTATGTTTTCTTATAATTTTAGCCTCATTGGAAGCATGTAGAGTGTTACACACAATGGGAGGATTTACTTAAACTGGAGAGTGCAAAATCTGGTGCAGCTCTTCATAGAAACCAATCAGCTTCATCTTTTTTTGTCAAAGCTTAATTGCTCAGTGTGCCAATTCCTCTGCTTCCATGAGCCAGCTCCCATCCCCCCTCCCCCTTATTATGTACCCTTTGGAATGTCCACTCAGGCTCTAACAAATTTGCCTTTGTCAATGAGCAACCCATTTGCTGTTACTGAAACCTGGCTCCAGGAATCCAGCTCTGACTCTCCAGCTGCCCTTTCCCATGGTGGTCGTCACTGGTCTCACACACCCAGACCAAGCAGAAGAAAAAGAAGGCAGAGTTGCACTTCTCCTTTCCCAACAAAGCACCCATGTGACTCTCCCTACACCTCTCTCTAAGTCCCTTTGCTCCTTTGAAGTGCACTCTTGTCTGTTTTCTCCAGTTTCTGTGAGGACTGCAGTGATTTACTGGCCTCTTGGTCCAGTCTTGTGCTTTTTCGATGACTTCTGTCCATGGATACCCTACTTTCCCTCCTCTGAAGTACCCACAATCATCCTCAGTGACTTTAACATTCAAGTCAATGGTAACACCGCAACAACCTCTCAACTATTCAACCTAACCTCTTCTTTTAACCTATATAAAAATACACAGCAAAAAAAAAAAAAATCCCAATATAATATCCCAGAAAAGTTATCCACCTCCACCCTTGAAGGCCAAACAAACAAAACAAAATATAAAACTTTTCTTTTTAACAGAAAAAATATAAATTAGATATATCAACATATCCACCCGTACAAAAAAAAAGTGTCCAAAATATCAAAATAATGTCCAAAATATCAAAAATTGTCAAAATTAATCCTCACAAACATAAATCATTATATTCTTTCTTCTTCAAACTATCTTTTTCAACACCCGCAGATCCTGATGACAATAAACCTCAAAAGAAAAAAAAACTCAACATAGTGTCATATCTTTTAAATAATAAAAACACACGTGCCACTCTCTGTGCAACATGCAAAATCTCTATAAAGCGTGTATACTCTATAGGTGAGTATCAATACACATGCAAATAATCAAATGTGTACCTAAAATACATATATAAATAAAAACACTCACATAAAGTGTCAACTACACAGTAAGTGAAAACGAACTCAAAATTGTTACTGCAACTATGTGTATCACCACACTCTATATACATTAGTGTACACCTTAAACCCAAACCAGCAAACTCCAACTCATGTGCTGATGGATAATTACCCTATGTCAGAAATGACAAGGCTTAGCACCACTCTGGGTTAACATCTCATCATTCAGGTTTCAGGTTTTCATCCAATGTAAGGGTTATTCCTCCATTTCCCTCATGAGAGAATCCACAATTACCAATGGTAGATAAAACACAGTCTTCTTTATTTAGCAACTTACATAAAGATATGGGTGAAGCAGCTCCTCCTCACAGGGATACAGGTGCAGACAAGTTAGGGAAACATTAGCCACATGTTCCCACTTCCAAGATGGCCGCGATCGCACTTCCGGTCAGCGTCGATACGTCTGACGTCACGTGTCACTGACGCGTTTCGTCACTTCCTATGACTTTTTCAAAGACCCTTTTGAAATCACAACCAATCCAATCACAACCTTATCAGTTTCATGCTCTTCCTGTCTCTAACTGCAAACCTCCTATGCCTCCAAACAGAAACAGTTACCCATAGAAACCTTCACCACCTCAACCCTTCCACAAAATCATACCCCTGTCCTGCCCTGACCTAGCCACTTCTGTCTACAGCAACTTACTTTAATGCTCTCTAGACACAATTGCTCCTCTCTCTACAGAAGTCACAAGAGACATAGCCATATTCTTGAGCTAGAATGGTGTAAAACTAAATCCCTGCAAGACTTCACCCTCTACAAATCTGCCCTTCTCAAATACAACTCTTGCCCCACTAACCCACTTACTGCCCAGGAGATTGCCAGTCATTTTAAAAATAAGATTGATACAATTCATGATGAGATTTCCAGTGTCCAACTTTCTCCTCCAACACTCAATACTTTCCTCCTTTAACACTGTCACCACTGAGGAAGTTGCCAAACTCCTTTCTGAGGCCTATCTCACCACTTGTCCTTTGGACCCTGTCCCCCTCATAACTACTACATTCCCTTTCCTGCTTTATCCTACACTCTCTAAACCACATCTTCAAACTCTCCCTCTTCACTGGCACTTTCCCCTCCTGCTTGAACATGCACTGGTTATCCCTATACTTAAAAAAACCCTCACTGGACCCCACCTGTTTGAATAACTTAAGACACATCCCTCTGCACCTGTTTTCTTCCAAGCCCTCTTAAACACCTTTTCCATAACCATATGAGTTGCTACCTCACTGATAACAACCTTTTCAACCCCCTACAGTCTGGCTTCCACCCACAACATTCCACTGAAACTGCCCTACTAAAACTCACTAATGACCTACCAACTGCTAAAACCAACAGCCATTACTCCATACACAGTTGACCACCCACTCCTCCTCAACAAACTCCACTCCCTTGGACTCCATGATTCTGCTTTTTCCTGGTTCTTCTCCTACCTATCTCAGCACACCTTCTGTGTCACCTACAACTCTATCTCCTCCGCTTCTCTTCCACTTTTTGTTGGGGTACCCCAAGGCTCTGCCCATGGGCCCCTCCTATTTCTCTCTCTACACCTCTTCCCTGGGCCAATTGATAACCTCCCAAGGCTTCCAATACCACCTCTATTCCAATGAAACCCAGATCTATTTCTGTACTCCCCAGTTCATACCCCCAATCTCGTCATATATCACAAATTTATTGAGTGACATATCAGTATGGATGTCACACCATTTCCTCAAACTCAATCTGTCTTAAACTGAGGTTGTAATATTTCCTCCTCCCCAGTATCCCCCTCATGACTTTACCACTGAGATCAACAGCACAATTATTGGTCCCTTCACATATATAAGGGTGGTAGATTTAATCTTCGTCTTCAACCTCTCCTTTGGAATCCACATCCAATAACTGGCTAAATCTTGCTGCCTTAATCTCTGCAACATTTCCAGAATTCTCCCCTTCCTAACTAACTACATAACAAAACAATTTATTTTCTCCTTGGTTATATTCCGCCTGGACTACTGCAACTCTCTTCTCATTGGCCTACCTTTATACAGGCCATACCCTGTATATAAGTCTTTCACTAATGCTGTTGCTAGACTTATACACCTCACTAATCAAACCATGACTGCTACTCCTCTCTGCCTGACATATAAGGGTTGATTTACTAGAACGGGAGTGTGCAAAATCTGGCGCAACTGTGCATGGTAGCCAATCAGCTTGTAACTGCAGCTTGTTCAATTAAGCATTGACAAAATAAACGTGGAAGCTGATTGATTTTTATGCAAAGCTGCACCCAATTTTGCACTCTCCATTTTTTGTACATTAAATCCATAAATACAGTATAACTAGAAATTGTTGATAATAAAAAAAAAGTGTTTCAGTATTTGTCAGGAAAACATGCCAGTAAGGTAAATGTATAAAAGCACTGAGTAACCCAACAATGAATGAGGTAAATTCCAAGAAATTTCTGGTCATAGTGTGATCTGTTTCTTTTTGTAATATTGTTTACAGCTATTATAAGGTATTACTTAACTATTAAATTACAATTAAATTTATTACATTACATTAAAAGCTACATGTAGTACATTCCTTAAAATATCAGACCATCACTCCAAGCAAATATGTAAACCCTCCCAACCTCATCTTTATATAAATAAATAAATACCAGTAGACTAGCAAATGCAGTGGATTGGGAGAATCAATAGCAGAGTGGCTTTTTGTTGATTTTCTAATCTGTAACACACTACTAGATATGTTAGTACATTATTATATGAAATATTCTTTATTATTAATATGTTTTGCAGTTGATATATTTACTGTAAATACTGTACCTGTGAATATGATATGATTTTTTTTTTCAGTGGGAAGATGACCATAAACAATGAATCTGACTTTACCACCAACACCACGCTTATGTACAGCACTGAAGAACCAACAACAAAAACTGTACAAGTGCCATAGTAGACAGTATAATAAAGGTTTACTTTCTACCAACAATGTTCAGTATCATTTTCATAATAGGATTTCCAGGGAATATTATTTCAATTTCAGTGTATGTTTTGAAGATGAGGCCATGGAGAACAAGTATCATCATCTTGCTGAATTTGGCCATCACAGACCTCATGCATCTCAGCAGCCTCCCATTCTTGGTTTACAATTATGTTAATCAAGAGCACTGGACTCTTGGGGACTTCATGTGCAAACTGATCCGCATTGTTTTTCATTTCAACTTGTATGGGAGCATTCTTTTCCTCACCTGTTTCAGCATCTTCCGCTATATTGTCATTGTTCATCCAATGAAATTTCATTCCATTCATAAACGGAGATGGGCAGTTATAGCTTGTGCAGCTGTTTGGGTGATTGCACTAATTGAGGTCCTTCCAATGGTTATTTTTATGAGAGACATACAAGATACTGTAGCTTGCATGGATTTTGCAGTGTCTCTGGAAAGGTACAATGTACGCTGGTACAATGCTTGTCTCACTACTATTGGGTTTGCTTTACCATTGTTGGTGGTGACTCTTTGCTACACCTGTATCAACTGTAGCCTGGCAAATGGACCCTATACTGATGATGTCCAAAAGAAAAAGGCCGTAGGCTTGTTGTCATTCTTTTGGTGGTGTTTTATGTTTGTTTTTTTCCTTTACATATTTTTAGAGCTATTCGTATTGAAACACGACTACACCATGTAAACTGTGTATATGAAAAACATATTCATGCTATATATTTAGCCTCTAGACCAATAGCTTCACTGAATACATTTGGCAATTTGTTACTTTATGTTGTGGTAGGAGGGAACTTTCAGCAGGCTATTCAGTCAATTTATAAGTCCAATCCTTATAAACAGCAGCCATAAGGCTTCCTAAAATACACATTTGTACCAATAATTGTTACTTAATGTAACCAGCAGTCTGCACCTTTTAGACTGATAATATGCAAAAAAGTAATAACTGTATGAACTATATTAACTCATAAAAGATTTCAAGGAAGAGTAATGCAGTAACTGGAATATCCAAGGTTGCACCTGCTACTGGCTCGGTGGGCTCACATTTCCCCATCGTTATGCCAGTGAAAGATTCATCATATTGACGGGGATTTACTAAAATTGGAGCACTCATACTCTGGTGCGGCTGTGCATGGGGTAGCCAATCAGCTTTTAACTTTAGCTTGCTCAGTTAAAACTTGACAATAAAACCTGGACGCTTACTACAGAGCTGCACTAGATGTTGCACCCTCCAGTTTTAGTAAATCCCACCCTCCCCCACCAACCAGTGTGTTTATCAGCTAGACGATACATGTGCTAAGAAATGTGTCATATTTCCTGAGGCACTAATATAAGTTGTTATAGGACTCCAGACAATGTTTGCATCAGAGTTCAAAGGTGCTTTTCAACACCTTTCAGCAGTAGATCACTTTGCCCCACATATTAACAGCCTTTCATTAATCAATGTCAGCTTAAAATAAAATCCAAAGAAAGCTAGTCCCTTGTAAGATCCTATGTTCACAGTGCATACATTTTAAAGGATCTGTCAGGTTCGATACAGTTTATCTACCTTATTTGGTAGCAGCTCTCATTCTGTGAATTAGTTTTACTTACAAAAAGATATTGATAATATAGAATGAGTCCAGAGTTGAGCAATAAAAATGGTTAAAGGTCTGAGGGATAAAACATTAAAGAGAAACTGTAGGATGATAATATGTACAGTCTTGAGCAGGGGCGGACTGACAACTCATGGGGCCCCCGGGCAATAGGGGATCATGGGGCCCCTGTGTCCCTGCCCAAACTCAAAAAATCCTATGAAAAAGGTACCAGGGGCATCTCATGGGGCCCCCTACTGACCCCGGGCCCTCGGGCAGCGCCCGAGTTTCCAAATGGTCAGTCTGCCCCTGGTCTTGAGGAAAGAAGGGACTAAAACCTTTAAATACATTACAGCGGTATTAAACCCAAAACCAAAAATGTAATATATTGCAAAAAGAAATAAAAAAAGATCACTTCTTTGTTTGTTTTGGGGTTTAATACTGCTGTAAGGGTGGAAATACGTTTTACTATGAAGCTCTGGTCAAGAACAAAGAGACATGACATCAAACCAGGAGAAGGAATGTTCAAAAGTAACCTTAGAAAGTATTATTTCACAGTAGTTGATACTTGGAAAAGATTTCCAGCAGAGGTCATGAGTCACTTAACAGTAAGTGAATTAAAACAGATTAAAACAGACTGATTATAATCAGTCAAAAAAGGTTAAAGTGAAATAAAAATAAAAAAATAAATCAAAAAAGGGACACACTCTATGGACCACTTTTTCTGCTATATCAATATGTTTCTATATTTCAGCTTCTCACAAAGGGATGAACTTGTGGAAAGGAAGATCATTTGCTAGACCTCATGGGAGTTGAAGTTCAGCATTATTCACATGGGTTTTGTGGCACAGTGAAAGATTTTGCTAAAGACTTCAAATCTCTTTGAGCATACTGTAAAGCTTTCTCTGTCTTGGAAAAATAGTATATCCTAGTAGTTTCAGTACAGTATTTAACCTTTACAATACCATCTATCACAGGTGAATAGGAAAATTAATGTGTTAATGTATTTCACCCAAACAGTCACTATGGTGTATATATAAATATAACATGTAAACTTTTGTTGTAAATATTTTACCTAGACAAAGCAAATTCCATATATATTATTAAAAAAATGTATTCAAATATATATTATAAAAAATATATTATTATAAATGAAATATTGCCTATCTGTAGGAACAGTTTTAGTCTGAAACATGGAACGAATTTTCCCTCAAAGATTCTAGTGAATAATTAAATGTATGAGCTGTCAAGAGTACAGTATTCTTTGCAAAGGACATGCTGCTAATGACACAGAGTACCAATATATGTTGTATTTAATATTACATTACTATGATTGTACTTGAAATAATAGGGGACTGCTGTGTACAAAACAAAGTTTGAATGGTAAACTGTAATCATAGGTCATGTGTAGTTGCCAATGACACATATTTTTATCCAATGTTAATTTATATTTTCAAAAACAATTTTGATTTTCCTGGCATGGAAGGCGTAGCAAATAAACTAATTTGTATTTATCTTGATCTCAGTCTCTTGTAAACCCCTGTACAACTTCATTTGGGGCCACTAGGGTACCATAAGCATATAATCTGAAATTAAACAGCAGAGAAAACAAAAAGAGTCATCCAATCTGTTGCTCCTCCATCACTGCTCATTCACAAGTTGGGGGTAGGGAAGTAACCGAACTGTGTTTCTCAACTGCAGCAACCACTTGTGTCAATTTAACTGGCAAATGTGCAGTCATGCAACATTGTACACAAATGCAATTTATATAATTTTTTTCCACACAAATAGAGATTTTTTTGGGTGGTATTTGACCACCACTGGGTTTTTTTTATGTTTTATTATATAAACAGAAAAAGACTGAAAATTTAAAAAACAAAAACAATGTTTTCTACATTCTGTTATAGAGCATAGCCAATAAAAAAAATAAAAAAAATTTAAAATTTCTTCAAAAATTTAGGCCAGAATGTATTCTGCTGCATGTAAAGACAAAATTCGCAAAAAGTGTATATTAACTGGTTTGTGTAAAAGTTATAGTGTCTACAAACTATGATATATATCTATATCTATCTATCTATAGATAGATAGATATATATATACAGTATGTGCTGACTGCATATTTCATTTTTTTTAGACCCTTAAAATTCCAGGACAGTGCAAACACCCCCCAAATGATCTGTTTTTGGAAAGTAGATGTGGTGGTGATCAGGTATACTGACGGATGACAGTAGTAAAAAATTTTTTATAATTTTTTTCTTTTTTTAACAGTCTTTTCTTTTTTCTACTTTTTTTTACATCTTGTCATCATAGTGACACTGTACTACTCTGGGGGAAGGGGGGTGGGGGTGATCAGGGATTATTTACACTGCTATCACTTATACAGTGCTGATCACTGTATAAAGAACAGGATTAGCTGAAATGAATGGGTTCCCATTCATGAACAGCTTGCTTACTCTTTTGTTCAGCCAATCATATAGTACAGGTAGTCAGATACCTTGTGTTTGCTGTGAGCCAATCACAGATCACAACAGTAAGCAAGCTGTTCTTGAAAGGAAAGCCATTCATGGCAGGTTGTTTACATTGTTATCATGTGATTGCGACCAATCATAGCGATCACATGATAACAGGGCACGCTGTGCTCTCTTATTATTATTATTATTATTATTATTATTAAACAGTATTTATAAAGCGCCAATAGTTCGCTCAGCGCTGTACTTTACAAAGGGGGACAGAACATGTGACAGAACAATACCAATACAATGCAAAACATGAGGGGATTGAGGGCCCTGCTCTTTCGAGCTTACAATCTAGGAGGGAGGGAATAGTGGTACAGGAGGAGATAGCTGTGGGGGATGGGGTGGTAGGAAGAGTGGAGGAGGTCAGTCAAGTTAGCCGGGGGTTGGGTAGGCTTCCCTGAAGAGATGGGTTTTCAGGGTGCGCCTAAAGGAGAGGAGAGTAGGTGATAATCTGATGGGTTGGGGCAGGGAGTTCCAGAGGATGGGTGACACCCTGGAGAAGTCCTGGAGGCGGGCATGGGAGGAGGAGACCAGGGAACTAGAGAGAAGGAGGTCTTGTGAGGAGCGGAGTGTGCGTGCTAGGCAGTACTTGGATATTAGGTCAGTGATGTCGTTCGGGGCAGTATGGTGGACGGCTTTGTACGTCAGTTTTAGGATATTGAATTTGATCCGTTGCGCAATCGGAAGCCAGTGGAGGGATTGGCAGAGGGGGGTGGCGGAGACAGAGCGGTTGGACAGGTGAATGAGTCTGGCAGCCGTATTCAGGATCGACTGAAGCGGGGATAGCCAGCGGCGAGGCAGGCCAGTGAGGAGGGAGTTGCAGTAGTCGAGTCGTGATACGATGAGGGAGTGGATGAGCTGTTTAGTGGTTTCTGGGGTTAGGAACGTGCGGATTTTGGCGATGTTGCGGAGGTGGAGTCTGCACGAGTTTGTTAAAGATTGGACTTGGGGCTGGAAGGAGAGGTTGGAGTCCAGAATGACACCAAGTACTCTGGCCTGCAGGGCGGATTTGATATTGGCGTTGTTGGATGTGATGGAGAAGTCAATGGGGGGTGGGGTCCGGGCTGGGGGGAAGACAAGAAACTCGGTTTTGGAGAGGTTCAGTTAAACTCTCTTAAACTGAAGCAGGCACAATCATGTGAATATGTACAGTACGTGACTGAGCCTGCATGTGCCGCCCTGCCGCAGTAAATGTACTGTGGTAGGTCAGCAAGTGGTTAGAGCAGTATTGAGGTAAATCAAGCATATTTTATTTTTACCAGAATTTCCATTCTTGTGTAAGCAGCATGCTAAAATGACATGTTGATTGAAAGGTATAGATTTAGATGCTATTAAATATTGTATTATTTTATTTTTTATCAGAAATGCCCCAGTCTTGGGTAATACAAAGCAATGACAGACTGACAGCAGCCACAGCTTTTCCCATGTATCCGTACATCCATGGGTCAGCTATGGTTATTGATGGATGAGCGACCCTGGACACAGAAAGACCCTGGGTTGGACATCTGTCCCTATCTGCAGGCGTGTGGATACATGAGAATGGCCACGGCTCCTGTCAGCCTGTCATTACTTTGAACAGACTTTCCCCCCACCACTGT